CAGGAGAGCTGTGTCCTGTCTCTTTTTCTTCTTCTCCCCCCCCCCCCCCCCACCAGAAATGTAATCTTTCTGTGGCACGTTAACTGGTGTACATCATGTAACCCGTCTGGTGAGTAACCTAGGGTAGGGGACGGGTTCTCGTCACCACACATATTTGGTGACTTTTTTGTATGATGCAGCCGTGCATTCCCGGGCTCCTCGGCCACAAACGCACACGCTGCCTGGAGGAGCTGGGGAGGAAAGCCGGGAGCCGGGGCCACGGTGGGCCTCAGGCTGAGGGCACCAGACTCCGGCCATGTCCACCCTGGGCTGTCGGCGCGGACTTCGCCGCGATTGAGGTCAGAGCCCGCGCTTGTTATGAGGAAGCTCATTTTTAGAATCTTTGTACAGGTGACCAAAGCCACTGAGTTGGCCAGAAAAGGTGAGGTAAATAAATTTACTTCAAAATGAAAATTTCTCACTGATTGTCATTGTCAGTTGCTCAAAGAGGTCAGTGGCTCCTGATTTAGGAATGTGTTCACAGGCCGGGGCCGCCCAGAGGCAGGTTTGAGCTGCAGGACTGTAGCAGGAGGGGAGGAGGCAGAGCCGGGAGGGGCCCCCACCGTCAGGAGGTTCATTCAGTCACTCCCTGGGACCATGTGCCAGCCCACAGTCCCCTGAACACGAGGAATTTCCGGGAGACGGGCTAGTAGGTGAGACCGTCTGTAACCCACAATGACAGTGTGGTGTCCCCGGCGCTGGTCTCTGCGTCAGCACGCAAACTGAGAGCCCAGAGGCGCGGCTCCATCAGGGAGCAGGCCCCGTGCTGCTGCACTTGGACCTGGTGTTTGTAAGCAGAGAACAGCGCCTGGCCATGGGCGGCAGGAAGAAAGGTATTGTCTGCGTCAGCAGTGAGTTTAGGAAAAAGCAGAAGGCAGCAGGGAAGGTGGGCTGTTTTATGTAGGATGGTCAGGCAGCATCTCTGGTACGTGACATTCCAGCAGAGTTTGTGTGGATACCCAGGGATGTTACATGTGTCATATATGTTTATATAGGAAATACATGTGATAGGATATTTAGGAAGTGTGTTACACACTAGTATAAACTATAACAATGCATAACTTGGAAGGAAATTCACGTGTAACCAGATCAGGAAGTAAAACCATGCCAACACCCTCAGAAATTCTGCTCTCTTCTTAATCCAGCCCTGCCTCTCTCCTCTCTCTCCTAGAGGTAATCCCTCTTGTGACCAGGTTACCAATTTCTCCCCCCCCCCCCCCCCCCCCCCGTATTAAACTAGAGGCCCTGTGCATGAGATTCAGGCACTTGTGTGTGTGTGTGTGGTCCCTTAGCCCGGCTTGTGCCCTCGCCCTCTCGCAGTCCGGTAACCCTCTGGCATCCTTAGTGCTGCTGTGGAGGCAGTAGAGGCTCCCATCACCATCGGTCTGTGGACTGAAGGGTCCCGGGTTCGATTCCGGTCAAGGGCATGTACCTTGGTTGCAGGCACATCCCTAGTAGGGGGTGTGCAGGAGGCCGCTGATCGATGTTTCTCTCTCATCGATGTTTCTAGCTCTCTATCTCTCTCCCTTCCTCTCTGTGAAAAATCAATAAAATACACACACACACACACACACACACACACACCCGTTGCTGGGCCCACCCCAACGGTGGCTGGCTTATTTGGTCTGGGTGGGCCTGGCCTTGTAACACCTCCCCGCTGGTGCTGGCATGGTCTCGCCGCACTGGGAGATGCTCTCTTCTCTGCCTCTCATGCTGTTGTGGACGGACCTTTGGGCCACTAGCCACTGGGAGTCACCACGAACCACCACGTGCTCAGCGACCATAACCCTGAGTCCCATCTACTCAGGTGTTGGGGCCTCTCTGGCAGTCTTCTCTGGAATTTCCCCGAACACTGATGCCTGGAAATCTCTCCGTGTGTCTGCCCACAGAGACACAACCTACTGTCTGCGGTGCAGTGAGTGAGCTGCTGTGTTGTAGGCTTAAAACCCCATGCCTGTGCCGGGACCTTCTCTGGAATGCGATCTTGGCGGAAGTAATCCCGCTAAGATGAGTGGGCGGGGCTGGAGTGGGCGGGGCCTTAACCCGCCAAGATCCATGTCCCTCTGAGAAGAGGCAGAGAGGCCCGGTGGCCGGAGACGGTGGAGGTGGAAGTGAGAGCGAGCGAGGCGCTAAGCCAAGGAACCCCAGGGATGGCGGGAGCCACCAAGGCTGGCATTGGTGAGCCTGTGGAGGGGGCACGGCCTTGCGGGCACCTCACCTTCGGACTCTGGGCTCCCAGAAGTGGTTCCACGCCCCCGTTGCGGCCCTCTGTCACGGGGCCGCCCAAGAACGCATGCAGGGGACTCTTGACACTCGCTTTCCCCCTGAAGAAGTGTCAAGTGTATTTCTTTTTTAAAAACATTAAGATAGCAGGGTGACATTTGTTGACATTTGGGTTTCTCGGTGACAAGATGTGTATATCGCACCGTGTGCCCACCACCCAGAGTCACATCTCCCAGCACCGTACAGTGGCCCCCCTCCCCCACCCCTTCCCTCCGGCAGCCACCACACTGCGGTGTGTTCACGAGTCCCAGTTTCATATCCCACACAGGAGTGAGGTCATGGTTCTTATTCTTTCTGACTGGCTTATTTCACTCAGCGTCATGTTCTCAAGATCTGTCCGTGGGGTTGCAAATGGAGTATTTCATCTTCCGTATGGCTGAGTTGTATTCCACTGTGCATATGGACCGCATTTAACAAATATAACGACAGACACGGCTTTTCTGGAAGTCCCTGGCCCAGGCCTGAGCCTGACCCCGAAGGCCTGAAGCGCAGCTGAGGACGGCTGCTGGAGGGCGGGCCGCGGCCATGGCAGGGCGGGGGCAGGCGATGCCGTCCATGCGGGTCCCCCAGGGCGTGGGCACCGGTGCGCCCGGGCATGGCAGGGCAGCGGCAGCCCCCGGGCCTGTCCCTCGCTCCGGGGACAGAGTGCTGCTGTCACAGGGTCAGGGAGAACGGGGCAGGTGCGCCCATCCTGCCGGCTCCCCCGCTCCCCGGAAAGGGCACCCTGTTCCTGCCTCAGATCACCCAGCGTCACGCTCTTTGGCAGCCTCCCCTCTGGCGTGTGCCTGCCCGGGGGCACCGTGCCCACCGCCTTCCTCTGGACAGCCGGCTGCTCGGACCCAGTCACAGGCCCAGAGCCGTCCTCCTCCATGGCTGTCCCCACGGTGGCAGGCGGCAGTGTCGTGTCCTGTGAAATGCTCCTGGGTGTTGCACGGCCATCGCAGGAGACAGGGCATTCGTGTCAGACATACCCAGTGGCTCAACGGCCAGTGGCTGCTCTGAGCCCCGAGGTCCTGAGTGCCCTCTGCTCAGCCGTGGGGGAGGGAGGGCGGGGCGTGGGGGAGGGAGGGGGTGTGTGTTTCGGGCCAGCCTGGAAGGGGCGCAGTGTGGCCTGGCAGGGTGTGGGCTCAGGTGCTGGGCACGTCCTGGCTGCCCCCAGGGAAAGACCTGCCTGGCTGGAGGACAGTGCTGTTCTCGGTGTCTTTGCCGAGTGAATGACAAGACCAGACAGCCAGTGGACAGTGGGCACGTGGCTCCAGGTGTCCCCCCAAGACAGACCCCCCCTCTGGGGCACAGAGATGGCCCGGGCGGCACTGACGAGGCCTCGCCAGCCTCCCGGTGGCCCGGGGCTGCTGCAGCGTCACCCAGTGCGTGGCACTGAGTCACAGCCCTCTGCCGCCACCCGTTTCCGATGCGCGGGGGAGTCAGAGGGCTTACGTGACTTGCCAGGGTCGCCCTCCCGCACCCCGACCCGGTCCTGGCTGCCAGGACGGTCTTGCTGATCTCGGCAAGTCCTCCGGAGGCCAGGTCCCTCCTAGACCGGGATTCCCTGGGAGGAAGAGGCTATCAGGCCGGGCTTCCTGGTGGCGGCACTTCCGCAGCTGAGTTTAGAATTGAGTTTTGCGAGACAAACGCGGAGTCCGGGAGTCCATGCCAGCGGGTGGGGGTGCCGAGAGAGCGCTCGAGAGGCACAGCCAGGTGTGTGGGCCTTGGGGTGAGGGAGGGGTGCTCCCCGGCCGGAGGGCTATCTGGCAGGCTGCTGGGTGAGCTGGCACTTGGGATTCAGCTTAAAGGTGGACAGCAATGGCCCTGGCTGAATGGCTCAGCTGGTTGGGGCACCGTCCTGTACCCCAAGAAGTGGTGGGTGTGATTTCCGGTCAGGGCATGCACCCAGGCTGTGGGTTCCATTCCCATCTTCTTTCTCCCTCACATTGATCTCTCTCTCTCTCTCTCTCCCTTCTTCTCTCTAAAAATTAAAAGAGAGAGAGAGAGAAAGAGGGAGAGAGAGCGAGCCGAAACTGGTGTGGCTCAGTGGATAGAGCATCGGCCTGCGGACTGGAGGGCTCCAGGTTCGATTCCGGTCAAGAGCATGTACCTTGGTTGCAGGCACATCCCCAGTGTGGGGTGTGCAGGAGGCAGCTGGTCGATATTTCTCTCTCATCAATGTTTCTAGCTCTCTATCCCTTTCCCTTCCTCCTCTCTGTAAAAAAAAATCAATAAAGGGGGGTGGGAGCAGGGCATATTTAGAGAGGGGTTTGGGATGGGAATGGGGGAATAAGGACAATTATGTGAGACAATAACCAACAAAAAATCAATAAAATATATTTATTTATTTTTATTTATTTTTTTATTAAATTATTCTATGTGTACATATCTTACCATTGGCCCCCCCCCCCCATACATGCCCTCCCTACCCAGAGTTCTGTGTCCACTTGGTTATACTTATAAATTTAAAAAAGAGGGAAGAAAGAGAAGGCAGACAGCCATGTCCTGAGAGGAGGTGGGGCCGATCCCTGGACGCTGTTGAGTGAGCACCTAGCCCGCGGCTCCAGCCTCCTGCTCGCCCACTGCTCCCTCCCCTGGGCGGGGGTGGGGGTGGGGAGCTGCCCAGCCTGCTGCCCAGGCCTGCCTGCCGGCGGGGAGAGAAGTCCCGCACTGCCCTGCCCGCCAGGCCCGGGATGGGGCTGCCGCGCTGGCTGCCTCTGCTGGCGCTGCTGGTGGCGCTGCCGCGGGCAGGGCCGCGGGCCCAGGAGCCCATCAGGGTGTTCGTGGTGCCGCACAGCCACATGGACGTGGGCTGGCTCTACACGGTGCAGGTAGGCGGGCCTCCTCCCCGCGCCCAGCCTGGGCCTCTGCTCCGGGTCTGCCCCCGGGGAGGGGTCCGCCTGCCTCCGGGGGCCTCTGGCCTGGGTGACTGGGCGGCTGACCTTGAGCCGATCGCTTCCTGCCTCGGAAGCCGGCTCCCCGCTAGGACAGGCCGCCCAGGCCGCAGGAAGGTGACGTGGCTGAGCCAGGTGTGGTCAGCCCTAGTCTGGGGGTGCTCTGGCCCATGCCCCTCTCACAAGGGGTGCAGGTCTCAGACTTGCCCGGGTTTCCTCTGCCCAAGAGGCTCCCTCCCCGATGTCAGGGGGACCTGTCCCCTCCTCCTCAGGGCGCTCCTGCGGGTCACTTCCTGGTGAGGCCTGTGGGCCACACTGAGTCTGTCTTCCCACCCTGCCCGGGACGGCCGTCTCCCACCAGCGGGAGCCCCCATTGGGGGCCGCACCCCTTGATCACTGGCGCTCTCTGGGTGCCGGTGCTGCGGAGAATCCTGGCTGAGCGGATTGGCACAGAGGAAGGCGGGGAGGTCTCTGACTCCTGGGGTTTGCAGCCGCCTCGCTTTGGGAGGAAAGGATGGGCCCGCATGATCATGAGGCCGTGGCCGTGTCACAGGGCCCCGGGCAGGAGGAGGCCGAGGCCGAGGGCGAAGTCCGGTCCCGGGCACGCAGGGAGCCTCTGGGGGTGACGGCCTGGGGGGGAGAGCATGCGTGTCACCCCCTTTTACGAAAGAGGAAACAGGCCAGGGAAGGCCCTGTCACTCAGGAATAACCTCCAGCCTGCTGACTCGCTGTCCCGTGCTCTTTGCCAGCCTGGTGCCCAGCAGCCCCGGGCACACTGCGTGCACCCGGTGACCCTGCTGGGACGCAGCCCTTCACCCGAGGAGCCCCCTCCGGGGGAGGAGGCAGTGACCTCAGGGACCCTCTCTACACAGCCTCCCCTGCCTGCGAGCCCAGCAGGCCCCGAAGGGCCCCGGTCCTCTCCTGGCGCCGGCCCCTGCGGGCACTGTCCGGGCGTGCCAGGGTCCGGCCCTCGCCTCTCGGGGACGGCGTGTCCTCCCCGAGCCGGGAGCGTGTCCTTGGCTGCGGCCCAGGCCCCCTGCGTGTCGGGGCTGTGGGTCCCCCAGGAGAGAGAGGGAAGGGGCAGGCGGCGGGTCCGCCGGCTGGTGACGGCGCCCCCGCAGGAGAGCATGCGGGTCTACGCGGCCAGCGTGTACACGACGGTGGTGCGGGAGCTGGCGCTGGGGGAGCACCGGCGCTTCATCGCCGTGGAGCAGGAGTACTTCCGGCTGTGGTGGGACCGGACCGCCTCCCGGGCGCAGAAGCTGCAGGTGACGCCGCCGCCGGGAGGGGGGTGACCGGGAGGGGGGTGTCCGGGAGGGGGGTGACTGGGAAGGGGGTGACCGGGAGGGGGGTGTCCGGGAGGGGGGTGACCGGGAGGGGGGTGACCGGGAGGGGGGTGACCGGGAAGGGGGTGACCGGGAGGGGGGTGTCCGGGAGGGGGGTGACCGGGAGGGGGGTGACCGGGAGGGGGGTGTCCGGGAGGGGGGTGACTGGGAAGGGGGTGACCGGGAGGGGGGTGTCCGGGAGGGGGGTGACCGGGAGGGGGGTGACCGGGAGGGGGGTGACCGGGAAGGGGGTGACCGGGAGGGGGGTGTCCGGGAGGGGGGTGTCCGGGAGGGGGGTGACCGGGAGGGGGGTGACCGGGAGGGGGGTGACCGGGAGGGGGGTGATCGGGAGGGGGGTGACCGGGAGGGGGGTGACTGGGAGGGGAGTGACCGGGAGGAGGGTGACCGGGAGGGGGGTGACCGGGAGGGGGGGGGTGACCGGGAGGGGGGTGACCGGGAGGGGCGTGTCCGGGAGGGGAGTGATCGGGAGGGGGATTATCGGGAGGGGGGTGACCGGGAGGGGGGTGACTGGGAGGGGGGTGTCCGGGAGGGGGGACGGGATGCACAGGGCAGGGCCAGGCCACTGGGCTGGCACAGGGCTGCTGAGATTGTGCGGTTGGCCCTCCCTCCCGGCAGCCTGCACTGAGCCCAGCTGAGCGCCCCCTGCAGGCCTTCCGGGCAGGCCCGTGCCCACCTGCATCCTTCATGGGCCCGGACCTGGGCCCTGGCGGGGCGCAGCGTGGGTTATAGGGCAGCAGGTGGAGTCCCACGGCGCGGGGGTCAGAGAGGCCAGCCCGCGGAGAGGCCTCCTGGGTGGGGCTGCCGTCCTCACGGCCACTCTGAGTGCTCCCAGGCCGGGCTGTCACTCAGGCCCCCAGCCGTGGGCGGAGCTCCCACACGGAGCTCGCTGTATAATTCGTGCATATTTTCTCCTTGAGATTATTTCAAAAGTAAGAATTCAGCCTGGCCAGCACAGCTCTGTGGTTGAGTGTTGAGCTTGAACCAGGAGGTCACGGTTCGATTCCTGGTCAGGACACACGCCAGTGTAACATGCTTTGGTCCCCAGTAGGGGGCGTGCAGGAGGCAGCCGATCTATGATTCTCTCTCATCATTGATGTTTATATTTCTCTCTCCCTCTGCTTTCCTCTCTGAAATCAATAAAAAAAATATTTTTTTAAAAAGTAAAAAGATTTAAGAGCTATAACCGGCGGCAGCCACAGGGCAGGTGCTGCTCCGGGGGAGGTTGTGTGCTGAGGGGACGCAGGGACCTGCCTCTGCAGGAGGAATGAAGGGGTGTCCAGGGAGGCCCCCAAGACGCTGTCACACGTCCCCTGCAGAGCCACGGAGCTCTGGCTGTGACCGGCCTTCCCTCTGTGCCCGCCGTGCAGGTCCGCGAGCTGCTGGCCCAGGGGCGCCTGGAGTTTGTGAGCGGAGGCCAGGTCATGCCCGACGAGGCCGTGACGCACTTCGACGACCAGATCCTGCAGCTCACAGGTTCGGCCGCTCCCGCAGCCACGCCTCCCGGGCCTTCTCTGGCCTCCATCCGGCCTCCCTCCCGCCTGCTGGGCCTCCCTCCAGCCTCCCGGGCCTCCCTCCGGCCTCCTGGGCCTCCCTCCAGCCTCCCGGGCCTCCCTCCAGACTTCCTCTGGCCTCCCTCCGGCCTCCCTCCCGCCTGCTGGGCCTCCCTCCAGCCTCCCGGGTCTCCCTCCGGCCTCCTGGGCCTCCCTCCAGCCTCCCTCCGGCCTCCCTCCCTTCCGCCTGCTGGGCCTCCCTCCAGCCTTCCTCCGGCCTCCCTCCGGCCTCCCTCCCGCCTCCTGGGCCTCCCTCCGGCCTCCCTCCCGCCTGCTGGGCCTCCCTCCCGCCTCCTGGGCCTCCCTCTGGCCTCCCTCTGGCCTCCCTCCAGCCTCCCTCCTCCCTCTGGGCCTCCCTCCAGCCTCCTCTGGGCCTCCTTTCGGGCCTCCCTCTCATCTCCCTCCGGGCCTCCCTCCAGCCTCCCTCTGGGCCTCCCTCCGGCCGGGACTTGGTGTCTGAGTCGGGCTGCTGCGCTCTGTCTCCCCTCTGCGCGGAGACGGACAGTGTACACAGCGATGGCCGTGCCGCAGGCCTGGCTGCTGGGCGTGGGGCTCTGAGTGGGGCTGCAGGACCAGCTTGCCTGCTGGGCACGGGCCGTGAGCCTGGGCAGGGAGGTCAGCTGTTGTGTCTCAGTGCCTCCGCGTTAAGAGGAGTTTGATGAACTGACCTAAAGGTCTGTGTGAGAAATAGATCGCAATAATTCAAATCGGTCACTCCAGTACAGTGCAGTGCTCCCTAGTGACCCTCATTAAAGGTTAGATGTCTTTCATCATTACACCACCATCACCGCCATCACCACCATCACCACCACCATCACCACCACCATCACCACCACCACCACCATCACCACCACCACCACCACCATCACCACCATCACCACCATCACCACCATCACCACCACCATCACCACCACCATCACCACCATCACCACCATCACCATCACCACCATCACCACCACCACCATCACCACCATCACCACCACCATCACCACCACCACCACCACCATCACCATCACCATCACCACCACCACCACCACCACCACCACCATCATCACCACCACCACCATCACCACCATCACCACCATCACCACCATCACCACCACCATCACCATCACCACCACCACCACCATCACCACCATCACCATCACCACCACCACCACCACCACCACCATCACCACCATCACCACCACCACCATCACCACCACCACCATCACCACCACCACCATCACCACCATCACCACCATCACCACCACCACCACCACCATCATCACCACCATCACCATCACCACCACCACCACCACCACCATCACCACCATCACCACCACCACCACCATCACCACCATCACCACCATCACCACCATCACCACCACCATCACCATCACCACCACCACCACCACCACCACCATCACCACCATCACCACCACCATCACCACCACCACCATCACCACCATCACCATCACCACCACCACCACCACCACCACCATCACCACCATCACCACCATCACCACCATCACCACCACCATCACCATCACCACCACCACCACCACCACCACCATCACCACCATCACCACCACCACCATCACCACCATCACCACCATCACCACCATCACCACCACCATCACCACCATCACCACCACCATCACCACCATCACCACCACCATCACCACCATCACCATCACCATCACCACCACCACCACCACCACCAGCAACACCACCACCACCAGCGGCACCAGCACCACCATCACTTTCACAGCCTCCACATCTACCCCAGCACCACCACCTTCATGACCACCAGCACCTTCCTCACGCCCACCTCCACCTGCCATCTCCACCCCCCACGGCAATGGTGTCCTCTCCCACCGGTTACCAGGTGCTTCCAGGGCGTTCAACGGCGGGCTGCCGGGGGAAAGCAGGGCAGCTGAGACACTGACAAAAAAGCGGCCAGCGGGTGAGCCAGGAGGACCCCAGGCCGACACCCGCCGCCGGGCCGCTCCCCGATAGCGTGGCCCCAGGCGCCGAGCGTGTGAAACAGGCAGAGCGGAGGCCGGGGTGCCGCCTTAGGGCCCTGCCTCCCACTAACCCCTCTTTACTCTGGAGCCCTGCCCTTAGCAGGCTCTCCCGCCTTGTTCCCAGACTTCACCCTCTTGGCCACGTTTGTCTACAGGGGTCGGCAAACTCATCAGTCAGCAGAGCCAAGTATCAACAGCACAACGATTGACATTTCCTTGGAGAGCCACATTTTTTAAACCTAAACTTCTTCTGACGCCACTTCTTCAGCACAGACTCGCCCGGGCCGTGGTGTTCTGTGGAAGAGCCACCCTCAAGGGGCCAGAGAGCCGCCTGTGGCTCGCGAGCCGCAGTGTGCCGACCTCTGGTCTAGAAGGTGGTGTCCTGACGAGACCCTTTCTTCTCAGGCTCACCGGTCCCTCTTGAGTCCAAGATGCCTCCCGCCCACAGTGCCCCTACTGCGTGCCAGGCTGCTCCTGTGCCCTCGCAATGCCCGCCCCGGCGGGGGCCCGGCTGGGGGCCTCCTGCCCCGCCGCCAGCCCGGCGAGGGCGGCTGGCACTGGCTCCCAGTGGGAGGGAGGGAGGCCGCGCGGGTCTGCCGGAGCTGGGAACGCGATGGCGGTCACTTTAGTTCTCACCTCATAACCCGTCCCAGTCTCCGCAGTGTGGCCTCGGGCCTGCTCGGGGCTCCTCCCGGCTCCTCTCTGCCTCCTGCTGCCTCCCCCGGCCCCTTTAGAATTTATTTATTGATTTATTTATATATTTTTTGTTGATCCTCACCTGAGGATATTTTTCCCATTGATTTTTAGGGAGAGTGGAAGGGAGTGGGAGAGAGAGAAACACCAATGAGAGAGAGACACATTGACTGGTTGCCTTCTGCACACGGACATCGGTGCCCTCGACTGGGGTCGAACCCGAGACCCTTCAGTTTGCCGGCTGAAGCTCTAACCACTGAGCCACCGGACAGAGCCCCTGCCGCCCTTCACCCCGCCCTTCACCTGCTCCAGCTGGGACCCTCCGGTGTTCTCGGCCGTATGCTTCCTTCTGTCTCCACCCGAGCAGCCCATCTCAGTCTCTTCTGCCAGGACCCCTCCTCTGGGCCCCTCGGTTCCTATCACCTCCCTTTCACCCCGACACTCAGGGGGCCTCTGCCAGCAGCCGAGCCTGGCCCTCTTTGGGGCTCCCTCGGTTCATGGTCTGGCTGGACAAGTGCTGATGGGCATGGCAGGGGAGGGAGGGGGCTGATGGGCATGGCAGGGGAGGGAGGGGGCTGATGGGCATGGCAGGGGAGGAGGGGGCTGATGGGCATGGCAGGGGAGGGGGCGCTAATGGGCATGGCAGGAGAGGAGGAGGCTGATGGGCATGGCAGGGGAGGGGCTGATGGGCATGGCAGGGGAGGGGGTGCTGATGGGCATGGCAGGGGAGGGGCTGATGGGCATGGCAGGGAGGGGGCGCTGATGGGCATGGCAGGGGAGGGAGGGGGCTGATGGGCATGGCAGGGGAGGGGGTGCTGATGGGTATGGCAGGGGAGGAGGGGGCTGGGCATGGCAGGGGAGGGAGGGGCTGATGGGCATGGCAGGGGAGGGAGGGGGCTGATGGGCATGGCAGGGGAGGGAGGGGGTGCTGATGGGCATGGCAGGGGAGGGAGGGGGTGCTGATGGGCATGGCAGGGGAGGGGGCGCTGATGGGCATGGCAGGGGAGGGAGGGGGCTGATGGGCATGGCAGGGGAGGGAGGGGGTGCTGATGGGCATGACAGGGGAGGGAAGGGGCTGATGGGCATGACAGGGGAGGGAGGGGTGCTGATGGGCATGCAGGGGAGGGAGGGGGCTGATGGGCATGGCAGGGGAGGAAGGGGGCTGATGGGCATGGCAGGGGAGGGGGCGCTGATGGGCATGGCAGGGGAGGGGCTGATGGGCATGGCAGGGGAGGGGGTGCCCAAAGCATAACAGCCTCGCCTCAGGACTCAGCCCACCGTGCCCTCGAACCTTGAGCGCCCAGTGCTGACCCTGCAGGCGCCTGGGACGGGAAGGGCGCTCTCCCCGGGGGACCCAGAGGCTCCGTTTCCCAGCCCCCCCCCCCCCCCCCCCCGCTGTCACTCAGCCTGGCTCTGGCTCCCGGGCGGCCCTCGGCCCCGGAGGAGTAAGTGAGGGCGGGTGACAGGCCCTTTGCATGAGGCATCTGTGCAGCAGGCCCTGCCTGCTGGGCCCCCGGTGCCCGGTGCCCGGGCCCAGGGGAGGGGCCCCCGTCCCCAGTGTGGGCGACGGGGCTCTCCCCGCAGAAGGACACGGCTTCCTGTACGAGACCTTCGGGATCCGGCCGCGGGTCTCCTGGCAGGTGGATGCGTTCGGCGCCTCTGCCACCACGCCCACCCTGTTCGCCCTGGCGGGGTTCAATGCCCATGTCATCTCCCGGATCGACTACGAGGTCAAGAATGCCATGGCAAACACCAAGGTAAGTGTCCCTCCCCCCCCCCCCCCCCACTGCCCTGGCCCTGCCCTTCCTGGTGGCTCCTGTGCCCTCGGAGGGCGGCACCCCTGCAGGGCAGGCCGCACCCCAGCGGGGAGCAGCGGGGCTGAGGTCAGCAGAGCCTGGGCACCGCCCGCAGGAGGCAGGCTGAGAGGTGAAGCCCGGGGGCAAGAGAAGGGGCACTCATGAGCCCGAGCACGGGGCGTGCCTCCTGCAGAAGTTCTGTGCCTGAGCCTGCGTCCCCCGGCCCGACACCAAGCCGCTGGGGAGCCCGGGCCAGTGTGAGCCCCGGAGCTGGTGCCCCGGGACCAGATCTCCCCCGCTTGTCGCCCTGAGCGCTGCCACAGGGGCTGCCCGCAGGGAGCCGCGCCCAGCCTGGGCCTGGCAGGGGGCCCGAGGGGGAGGCGGGCTACGGGGCCAGCCGGCTGCTCGGAGGGCAAACCCACAGCTTTTGCGGCTTCGGGGGTGATGGGACCCCGGAGGAGGCAGCGAGGGGGTCTGTCCCGGCCGGCGCCCTCAGCCCCGCCCCCCCCCCCCCCCCCCCCCGTCGGCAGGAGATGCAGTTCGTGTGGCGCGGGTCCCGGTCGCTGGCGGAGCAGCAGCAGATCTTCACGCACGTCCTGGACAGTAGCTACTGCATGTGAGCACGCCCTGCGGCCCCCGCTGTCCCCGTGCCCCCCACCCCCCGGCGGCCCGCACCCCAGGGAGACACACTGGGCGCCCTGTCCGAGCCTGCAGCCCGGCTGGCGAGCGGTCGGAGTGGGGCTGGGTTCAGGCGCCAGCTCCCGGGCCGGGTGTGCTGACCCTTCGTGCTGCGGGCAGGGACAGGTGCCGTCCCTCTCTGAGAAGGAGCGGCAGCAGGCGTGCTGGGGGGGCCGCTGGGGGGCCGCTGGGGGGGCCGCTGGAGGGGGTGCCAGCAGGCTCACTGCCGCTTAGTGCCAGGCACCGTTTCTCGAGGTTTCCACCATTATCATCATCGAACCCTCGTAACGGCCTTCAGCACGTGTCCCCCCGAGACCCTGGGCTGGCGGTCCCCCTGTGCCCTGGGCTGCCCAGCGAGGCCGGCGCCAGGCTCGCTGTCAGGGTCAGAGCCGTGCCCCGTGCCATGTGGGGGCGGGCGGAGGGAAGGGCCGGGTGTCTGCCTGGTGGAGCCCCGGGAGGCTCTGCTCACCAGGACGCTCGTCCTCCGTCTTATTTGCTAAAACACCGCGCTCCATCTCTCACCGGGGCACTGAGGCCGGAGCTGGAGGTGGCTGCTCCCCCGGGCCCAGTCCGGCCCCAGCGCTGTCCCTGGCCTGGCACCTGCTCTGCAGGCTCGGGGTGCACCGGGCCCAGGGAGTGGCGTGCCTGCCCCGCAGCTGGGGAGCGGGGGCCTGGGCTGGAGCCCCCTCTGTCCGCGTAGCCCCTGCCTGCCCCCTCCCTCTCCCGCCTGGCCCTGGCCCTGGTGGGAGACGGGTCACCGAGGAGGGTCTGCAGGTCCTGAGCTGCCCCATGGACGGCCTGAGCCCCGCCAGCCCCCGGGCACCCAGGCTGCTCTCCTCTTGGGGTGGGGCCCCCCTAACCTTTCTCTCTGCCTCAGGGAGGGGTATTCCTGGGAAGGCGTGGCCCCGCTCCCAGCACGCCTCCAGGATGTGGCGTCCGTGAACCCCAGCGACCCCCCCATCACCACGTGCAACATCGAAACGTACCTGGAGAGCTTTGTGTCCAGCGTGCAGACACGGGCCAGCCTGTACCGGACCCCGCATGTCCTCTGGCCCTGGGTAAGCGGCGTCCAGGCCGTGGCCGCGTCACAGCCGTGCCAGGCGCCGGCTCCGCTCGAACCCGGGCGGGCCTGCCATCCTGTACACCCCGGGCCTCCCCCACCGGCTCCTCCCACACCCCGAGCTCACCCGGCCTCTCCCCCGAAGGACAGCCCTGGCCCCCGCCCCGCAGGCTCCCACCAGCTCTCCCCAACCTTCTCGCGTGTGACTGCCTCTCTTTCTTTAACGCCTCTTTGATTGCTTTGCTCCTTTTGTTTGTGATTCCTTTTTTCTATGGGTGCAGATATTAACAATATTTTTTGAAAAATGTAAAACTCCAGACATGATGTCAACAGGCCACTTGTATGACACATTTGATCTAAAATATATATATTTTAGATCAAATGTGTCATACAAGTAGCCTATATATATATTTTAGATCAGAATTTTTGCACTGGCGGGGGTGTCCCTCAGCCTGGCCTGTGCCCTCTCACAGTCTGGAGCCGTGGGGGCTGTCAGACTGACGGCTTAGGCCTACTCCCCATGGACCTAAGCTGGCAGTTGGACACTCTTAGCGTTGCTGCAGAGGCAGGAGAGGCTCCTGCCACCCCTGCTGTGCTTGCCAGGTGAGCCTGGCTCAGGGCTTCTGGCTGAGCAGTGTTCCCCAGTGGGAGCACACTGACCACCAGGGGGCAGCTCCTGCATTGAGTGTCTGCCCCCCGGTGGTCAGTGCACATCATAGCGACCAGTTGTTCTACCATTTGGTTGATATGCATATTAGCCTTTTATTATATAGAATAACTTTAGATGAGGCTTGAGGCATAACTTAAAATATACGTAGGCGCTGAAGCCGGTTTGGCTCAGTGGTAGAGCGTCCGTCTGCAGACTGGAAGATTCCGGTCAAGGGCATGTACATTGGTTGCGGGCACATCCCTGGTAAGGGGTGTGCAAGAGGCAGCTGGTCGATGTTTCTCTCTCATCAACGTTTCTAGCTCTCTATCTCTCTCCCTTCCTCTCTAAAAAAATCAATAAAAATATATTTTAAAAAAATATACGTAGGCAATAAAGAAACAAGATAATGAAATGCTTGCTTTCTCAGGAGTTCACAATCGAATGGGATGCTTGCAAAGGGGCACAGAAACACCTGCCTAAAATAGCTGGTGTCTAGGCCACAAAACCCCAACAGTATCATCTGGTGACCTCCCTTTGTTCTTTGTTTTTATTTATTTCAGAGAGGGAGGGAGAGAGAGACATCAGTGATGTGAGAGAATCATGGATTGGCTGCCTCCTGCACGCCCTCACTGGGGATCGAGCCTGGAATCTGGGCACGTGCTCTGACTGGGAATCAAATGATGTGTGTGTGTGTGTGTGTGTGTGTGTGTGTGTATCCATTCATCTATGGATGGACACTTTAGGTTGCTTTCATGTTTTGGCTATCCTATATAATAAAGAGATAATATGCAAATTGACCAGCACGCCCTTGCACCAGATGGCCACCCCCATGTGGTCAAAGATGGCAGCCATAAGATGGCTGGCAGTGGAGAGCAGTTGGGGGAGACTGGGCAGGTAGGGAAGGGCAGTTAGGGGGGACCAGGCCAGCAGGTGAGTGCTGTTGGGGGTTACCCAACCAGCAGGGGATGGCAGTTTTGGGCAATCAGACCGGCAGGGGAGCGGTTAGGTTTTGGTCAGACCGGCAGGAGAGTGGTTAGGGGTGATTAGGCTGGCAGGCAGGTGAGTGGTTGGGAGCCAGCAGTCCCAGATTGTGAGAGGGATGTCCGACTGCTGGTTTTGGAATTGGGCCTAAATTGGCAGACATTGCCGAGGGGTCCCAGATTGGAGAGGGTGCAGGCTGGGCTGAGGGACGCGCCCCCCCCCCCCCCCCCCCCCCCAGAGCACAGATTTCATGCTCTGGGCCTCTACATGTAAATAATGCTGCTATGAATATGGGTGCATATAACTGTTAGAATTAATGTTTTGTTTTCTTTGACTAAATACTCAGAAGTAGACTTGCTGGATCAGATGGTAATTCTATTTGAAATTTTTTTTAGAAACCTCCATACTGTTTTCCATGGTGGTTGCACCAATTTGCAGTCCCACCAACAGTGCACAGGGTTCCATTTTCTCCACCTCCTCACCAACACTTCTCTCTTGTCTTTTTTGATGGTAACCATTATAGCAGGTGTGAGGTGAGGTCTTACTGTGGTTTTTTATTTGTTTATTATTATTATTTTTAATCCTCACTCGAGGATATTTTCCCATTGATTTTTAGAGAGAGTGGAAGAGAGAGGGAAAGACAGAGAGAAACATCGATGTGAGAGAAGCACATCGATTGGTTGCTTCTTACACAAGCCCCGGCCAGGGCCTGGGCCGGGGAGGAACCTGCAACTGAGGTACATGGCCTTGACCAGAATCGAACCCAGGACTCTTCAGGTTGCAGGCTCTATCCACTGAGCAACACTGGCCAGGGCAATGCGATTTTTGACTTGCATTTCACTGATGATAGGGGTGCTGAGCCCCCTTTCACTGGGCCTGTTGGCCATCTGTACGTCCTCTTCGGAACGATATCTAGTGAAGTCCTTCCTCCATTTTAGAATTGGATTGTTTTCCCACCTGGTCCCATTCAGTTCACTCACATTTTGTTAAGAATTTTTGCATCTATGTTCATTGGGGGTGGTCACCTGCACTTTTCTTTCTTTCTTTTTTCCTTTCTTCCTTCCTTCCTTCCTTCCTTCCTTCCTTCCTTCCTTCCTTCCTTCCTTCCTTCCTTCCTTCCTTCTCTCTCTCTCTCTCTCTCTCTCTCTCTCTCTCTCTCTCTCTCTCTCTCTCTCTCTCTCTCTTTTGTACTTTTCTTTACGTGTGGTGTCCCGGTCTCATTGTGGTGTCAGGATAACGCCGGCCTTGGAAACGCGTGTGGAGATGTTCTCTCCCCTTCTGCTTTTTGGGGGAGATTTTAGAAGGATTGGTATTGATTCTTCCTTACTAGCATTAACCGATGACATCATCTGGTCCTGGGCTTCTGTTGTCAGAGCTTTTGGTTACTGATTCAGTCTCCTTACTAGTAAGATGTCTGTTTATAGTTTCTGCTTTTTCAGAGTCAGTCTTGGCAGGTACTGTTTCTAACAGTTTTGACTTTGCTGTTTTGAAGATGAAGTTAAGGTCAGTGAATGTGAGTCGTGGCTAGTTCCTTGTCCCTCACAATTCTCACAGCACCGGGATGGATGACGTGATGAGCCAGTAATAATAAATGGCTTTCAGAAATGCCAGGGAGTGAAATATGTCAGAGGAAGACAAAGGACTGTATGATTTCACTTATAGTACATGTAAAATTTAAAAACACAAAACGCGTAGATCCAACTTGTGGTTATCAGAGGTGGGGGTGGGGGTGGGGGATTAGTCAAAGGAACACACTTTTTAAAAAAAAATTTTTTTTTTTTTTTTATTGATTTCAGAGAGGAAGGGAGAGGATGAGAGAGATAGAAACATCAATGATGAGCCGAAACCGGTTTGGCTCAGTGGATAGAGCATTGGCCTGCGGACTGAAAGGTCCCAGGTTCAATTCCGGTCAAGGGCATGTACCTTGGTTGTGGGCACATCCCCTGTAGGGAGTGTGCAAGAGGCAGCTGATCGATGTTTCTCTCTCATCGATGTTTCTAACTCTCTATCCCTCTCTCTTTCTCTCTGTAAAAAACCAATAAAATATATTAAAAAAAAAAAAAAGAAACATCAATGATGAGAATCATCGATCAGCTGCCTCCTGCACTCTCCCCACTGAGGACTGAGCCTGCAACCGAGGCATATGCCCTTGACTGGAATCAAACCTGGACCCTTCGGTCCACAGCTGATGATGCCCTGTCCATGAGCCGAACTGGCTAGAGCATGAACAAACTTCTTATAAGAGGAAAGATAAACAAATATAGGGGATGTACAACATGATGCAGAGAAAAGAAAGAAAAAGAGAGGACACTATACATGCATATAAGTACAACCAATGGACACAAAACTGGGGAGGGAGGGTATGTGTGGGAGGGGGGGCAATGGCAAGATATGTACACAGATAATAATTTAATAAAAAAAAAATAAGGGAGCTGAAACCGGTTTGGCTCAGTGGTAGAGCGTCGGTCTGTGGACTGAAAGGTCCCAGGTTCGATTCCGGTCAAGGGCATGTACCTTGGTTGCGGGCACATCCCCGGTAGGGGGTGTGCAAGAGGCAGCTGGTCGATGTTTTTCTCTCATCGATGTTTCTAGCTATCTCTCTGCCTTCCTCTCTGTAAAAAATCAATAAAATATATTTTAAAAAATAAGGGAAAAAATAAATTAGTAAAAAAATAAATTGAAGGTCCCGGGTTCGATTCCGGTCAGGGGCATGTACATTGGTTGCGGGCACATCCCCAGTAGGGGGTGTGCAAGAGGCAGCTGGTCGATGATTCTCTTGACGTTTCTAGTTCTCTATCTCTCTCTCTTCCTCTCTGTACAAAATCAATAAAAATAAAAAAATATATATATTTATATAAAATAAATTGACCACCACTCAAAAAAGAAAAGAAAAAGAGGACACGCCCAGGAATTTAGCTGGGGAGCTGGTGTGGGGCCGGGGGCGGCCGTGGGGGCGGCAGGGGTCCCGGGAAGGCTGAGCTCTGCCCTCAGGACGGCCGTGGCCCGTGTCCTGCCGCAGGGCTGTGACCGGTCGTTCTTCAACGCGGGAGTGCAGTTCGCCAACATGGACCTCCTGCTGAGCTTTGTCAACACGCACTCCGCCCAGACGGGCGTCACGGCGGAGTACGCCACCCTGAGCTCCTACCTCCGCGCCGTGCACGCCCACAACGCCACCTGGCACGTCCGCGGCCACCAGGACTTCCTGCCCTACACCTCAGGTACCCGCCTCGGTGCCCGCCTTGGTGCCAGGGACCATCGGTGTCTGCTCTTCCAGGCGGGAGCCTGGCCCTGGCCCCACCACCCAGCCCCCTCGGCCATCCTGGCTGCCACACCTCAGCCCCGTCCCCAGGCGGCCCGCACACAGTAGGTCCTGCCTCTGCACCGTGCACTGGGGCTTCCCTCCTGTGAGGGAAGGGCCCCCTCCTGCCTCTTCCTGCCCAAGTTCCACTCATCCCTGAGGACGGCCCTCCCTGGACCTGTCCTGACCCGAGGCGGGACCTACTGTGTGCTACATTTCCCTCTGCCACCCCCGGTCCTCCTCGGAAGCCCGATGCTCCTCGCTGCGTCCGGAGGCTGTGGGCACGGGCCCCCAGGGCGCCGCCAGGCGGGGAGGCTGCGAGGCCGGGACAGTGATGGCGCTCAGTCTATCGTGTTGTCATGATGAAGCGAAACAAGGAAAGCTCGGGTCCAGCGCAGAGCCAGGGCCCGCAGACGCAGCGAGGAAAAGCCGTCGCCATCCCTGGTCCCGCTGTGCCAGGCGCGGCTCTGGGTGCGAGCAGAGCAGGCCCTGCCCGGGAGGCTGCGTCGGGGCCGGCAGTGTGTGCCCGTCAGGCCGCCCACCATGCTCAGCCCCCAGCTCAGAGCCCCTGGCAGGCCCAGCTCCCCGCTGCCCCCGGGGAGTTAGAGGCAGCGCAGGGGGGGCGTGGAGAGCGGCTGCAGGACATGCCCTGCTGCCCCTGCCCCTGCCCCTGCCCCGGGCGGCCGGGTACTGTGGGCCGACCTGGCCCCTCTGACAGACCCGCTGCGGGCCTGCAACCCGCCCCCCTTGTCAGCCGCATCCTCTGGCTGCCCGAGGACAGCATCTCCTGGCCTCTCAGCGGCCCCACCCTCCTCCCCCCTCCCCCCCCCCTCCCCCCCCCCCTCCCACCCCCCCTCACCAACCCCCTCCTACCCCCCCTCACTCCCACCCTCCCTCCCTCCCAACCACCCTCCTCCCCCCAACCACCCTCCTCCCACCCCCCTCCCACCCCCCCCACCAACCCCCTCCTACCCCCCCCTCACTCCCACCCTCCCTCCCTCCCAACCACCCTCCTCCCCCCTCCCACCCCCCTCCCAACCCCCTCCTACCTCCCCTCCCTCCCTCCCAGGGCCACCGGAGGGACCTGCTGAGTGCAGGCCCTGTGGGGGGGCCATTGTCCCAGAGTCCCGTTCAGAGGCTGCGGTGCTCGGCCTCTCAGCGGGTCCTGCCCCTCCCCTCCCCCCCCTCCCCTCCCCCAGGCCCTGGTTCAAGGCGGAGCCAGGCCTTGGGGCCCTCCCTGGGCTTTCCTGTCCCCCGCCCACCAGGCGCCCTCCTCCCCCGCTGGCCTGGCTGGGGGGAGCCCCAGGCCTTCGGGGGAGCAGCGCCCCTCGGGCCAGCTCTCCGGGCCGGCTCTCACCCTGCCCCCGTCCCCAGAGGAGCTGCAGGTGTGGACGGGCTTCTACGCCTCCCGCAGCGGGCTCAAGGGGCTGGCGCGGCGGGCCAGCGCGCTGCTGCACGCGGGCGAGTCCATGTTCACGCGCTGCCTGTGGCCGCGCCCCCCGCGCCGCCTGGACCCCGGCTGGGCCCTGAGGCAGCTCCGGAAGCTCCGCTGGGCCGTCTCCGAGGTAACGCCGCCTCCCTCCGCCGCCGCTGCCGTGGCGAGGGGCGGGACGGGCCGCGGCGAGGGGCGGGACGGGCCGCGGCGAGGGGCGGGACGGGCCGCGGCGAGGGGCGGGACGGGCCGCGGCGAGGGGCGCAGGCGGCCAGGCGGGACGGGGGCGCTGGTGCCAGCCCTGCGCTGCCGTGGCCGCGGGCAGGGGACGTCCCTGTGCCATGAGAATACATGCCCCCCGTGGGTGGGGGCGACTGAGCCACAATGTGCAGAACCCGCTTGGCCTGGCAGTGGCCACACGGCGTTGTTTGCATCTCGCTCTGCCGTAGCCCAGCGTGTCCCGGGGCGCCCTGAGTGTCCGGGGTGCTCAGTATGTCCCAGGTGCCTGGCGTGTCCCGGGGACGCCCAGCGTGTCCTGGGGTGCCCAGCGTGTTTGGGGGTGCCCAGCGTGTTTGGGGGTGCCCAGCGTGTTCGGGGTGCCCAGCGTGTCCCGGGGTGCCCAGCGTGTCCGGGGTGCCCAGCGTGTCCTGGGGTGCCCAGCGTGTCCTGGGGGCGCCCAATGGGAGACACAGTCCCTCCCCAAAGCCAGCTGCTTCCCTCCCCGTGCCCCGGTGTCCTTCTGTGCAGTGCGAGGGCCCCTCGCCCGCCGGGGAGAGGGGGTGGCGGGCGGAGCGGGCAGGGCCCAGCAGCCCTGGGCGGCAGGGGGCCCACGGCTCTCTGGGGCCGCAGGTGCAGCACCACGACGGCATCACGGGGACGCAGGCCGCGCAGGTGCGGGACATGTCCGTGGAGCACCTGAGCGCGGGGATGCAGGCCGTGCTCCGGCTGACGGCCGCCATCGTCCTGGACCGGCCCCCGGACGCCCCAGGTGCGAGGCCGCGGGGCGGGTGCGGGCTGGGGTGCCGAGGCTCCCGTCCTTCCTGAGGAGAGAGCCTGGGGGGGGCGGGCGGGGGCCTGCACCCCCGACCCTCAGACGCAGCAGACATCCCTGACCTCGCCTGACCTCGGGCAGGGGCGGCACTGCTCACGCCTCCGTGTCCTCTCCCGGCACAGGGCGGCAAGCAGCGCTGGGCCTCCCCGGCCAGCTCACCCCCCCCCCCCCCTGCATGCGAGGGCGGCTCCCACCCTGCTGCTCCAGCTGAGGACACGGGGGAGGGTGGTGGCGGCGGTGGTGTGCGGACTCCCCAGGCCATGCCGCTGTTGGTGCTGGGCAGGCCTTGAGGACCCGGGAGCCTGACGCTGGGCCCCTCCTGGTCGAGGCAGCGTGGGTACAGGCATCCGCGCAGCCCTGCACCCAGGCCTTTGGCCGCGAGGGCGCCATGAGTTTGCAGGGACAATCATGCTGCCAGACGGGCCTGAGGGGCTCCCCACCCACAGCCCCCCTCAGCCCGTACACCCTCTCCCCCCATCCCTGCTCACCTGCCTGCTCCCCTCTCCCCCTCCCCCGTGTCTGTGAGGGACCCCGTCCCACCTTCGGACCCTGGGGGTCCCGGGGACAGGAGCAGCACACAGTGCTGCCTACAGCCTGGGCTGGAGGGAGATACGCACAGCCATGGAGAGCTAGGACGGGGCTGTTGGCTGTGACGTCCAGGCTCCGGCTGCTCCCCACACCGGGCACTCAGCCTCAGGGCTCGGCCTCCGGAGCTGGGCCCCTGGGGCCGCACCTCTCTCTCTGGGTGGGCTGAGCGGCGGGTGAGCCGGGAGCACACAGAGTGCGTGGCCTGGGGCGCCTCGCAGGGAGGACCCCGTTCCTGGCCCTCTCCCGGGGCGCCCCGCGGGGGGGACCCCGTCCCTGGCCCTCTCCCGGGGAGCCTCACAGGGGGGACCCCGTCCCTGGCCCTCCCCCGAGGCGCCCCGCAGGGAGGAGCCCGTCCCTGGCCCTCTCCCGGGGAGCACCTCGGGCGCTCTCGCCGGCCTGTTCTCCTGCGCCTTCGAGGGGTCCCCACGGGGCGCGTGAGGACAGCGAGGAAAGCCCGTTCCCCGTCGCAGGCTCCGAGCCCGAGGGACACCTGGCCGCGGTCTACAACCCCCTGGCCTGGCCGGTCACCGCTCTGATCACACTGACCGTGAGCTTCCCCCACGTCAACGTCACCGACGAGTCAGGCCGGCCGGCCGAGGCCCAGGTAGGGCCCGTTTCTGCGCGGACGCACTTGCTGCTGCCGCTGACCCCTGCCCCGGGCCGGGCCCTCCGGGGGACCCCCAGGGGGGCGTGTCCACGGAGGCTCGGAGGGACCTACCCGGGGGGCTGGCACTGGGCTGGGGCACCTTCCGGGTCCCGGGACAGTCCCTCCCCGGAGGGCCTCTGTGGCCTGCCTGCCTGGGGCTGCTCGCCCCGCCCTGAGGGTGCGTTTTCTATGGAAATGTCCACTCTGCCAGGGAAAGGCCTTCCTGTCCCTCACAGGGTGGTTATGGAGGCGCTGACAGCAGGGGCTGCCCCTGGGCCCCGCACCCAGACACCCAGGGGCCCCCGCTGTGAGTGTGTGGTCCCTTCTCCCCTCCTCCCGGCCTGGCACTGGGCCTGGTGCCCCCGGACACCCCTCCTGCCATCCTGCGGCCCTTCCCGGGAGGTGCCACCGTCAGCCAGTCAGCAAACACACCCCTGTGCCCGCGCTGGGCCAGGCTCTGGGCTGGGAGCTGGGTCTTGGACACGTCACTGTGGGGAGGGGAGCGGGAGCCGAGTGGCCATGGGAGGCGTGGCCTGGCGCCCAGGAGCCGGGGAAGCCCCTGCCCACACCGGAGGCGGGGAGTGCCCCTGAGCAGGAGGCGCGGGAGGAGGGCGTGGTCTGTGAGACCCAGCGCGGACCCCTTCCCGTCACGGGCAGCACCACGCAGAGTACATGTGTCCGTGCTGGTCTAGGCACTGGGGTGCCATCCCAGCCAAAGTCCCTGCCCGCCGGGCCCGCTTCTGGCAGAGAGACAGGCAGTGAACCCAATGCGGGGTGACGGTGTGACGGTGACTGTGATGGACGACCCGGCTTCTCAGTGGAGGCGGGCGGGAGGCTGTGTGGGCCTCCCCAGAAGGCCTCCCCCGTTCCCTAAGAGTGAGGGGCATGGCCGAGGGGGCCCTGTGCCTTCTCCGAGCCCCTCCCCAAACCAGAGGAGGGGGATGGCGAGGATCTCCCCGCCCCCCCCCCCCCCCCCCCGAAAGCATCCCTCCCTGGGAAATTGGAGGATGGAGAGAGAGGGCTGCCCCCTCACGGGCGGGGCTTCCCGCAGAGGGAAGAGCATGGGGAGTGGCCCGGGGGCAGGAGGCAGGGGATGGTGGGAAGGAAGGGCAGCTGGTGGTGCTGGTGCCAAGAGGGAGGGCGATGAGGTCAGGGCTGGAGGCTGCTGAGCAGGGAGGATGCAGGGAGGGGAACTCAGCTCAGTTTGATGATGGACAGACCCCGCTGCCTCCTGGGTAAGCACCCTGCACAGGAGGAAGGCACGCTGAGGGTTACTGCGGAGATTGGTCGTCCAACCCCGAACCTCTCGTATCTTGTACCTTTGGCCCTGCAGGTCCAGAGATCAAAGAAGATCCTGGATAAATATGACTTGTATGTGCTGACCACAATCCAGGGCCTCAGCTACCGGTACTACAGTATCAGGCCGGCCGAGCAGGCCCCGGATGGCAAACAGGCATCAGGTGCCTCCATGACAGTCACCTCCAAGCTTGGCCTCAAGCCGAGACGACCACGCAGCAGGCCCAGGGGCCAGAACCTGGTGTCCGTGTCGAACGACTGCTACACCGTCTTCCTGGACCGGGACACCAACCTGCTGCACAGCATCTGGGAGAGGTGAGGTGCAGCCATTGCTGGCTCTGAGGCGGAGGCGTTCCCTGAGGCCCGCCCGAGCTGTCACTCCCCCACAGGGGACTGTGTATCCTCTCCTGCCTGGGGGAAGGACCTGAGGGTGGGGAGGCCTTTCAGTGTTTTGCCATCTCTATTTCTAGGAGTATGAGTGCTGGCCAGTGCAAAAAAAGACTTTCTTAAACTTTTTTATTCCAGAGCTGTTGATCCTGAGGAAAAAGGGGTATTGAGGGACCTCCATCCGAGGGAATAAATATAATAATCATTTTACCCCCTTTTAAAAATTTAATAAAAATAAAATCCACTCATCTATTCATTCACCCACCAAACTACCCATCTACCCACCCACTCACCCATCTATTCACCCATTACACCTCCATTCTTCCTTATAACCCACCCATTTATCCACAGACCTGTCCCATCCATCCATCCACCCATCCATCCACTTATCCATCTCTTCGTCCATCCATCCATTCACTCATCAACCTATCCATTTTTGCACTCAGCCATCCACATGTCCATCAAACTATCTGTCAATCATCCGTCCGTCCATCCATCCAGTCGCTCATTCAGGAGACTGGTCCTCAGCAGGTGGTGGAAGGGAGCCACAGAAATGTCCTGAGCACGCTCCGAGCTCCCTGGTCAGGTGGGAAAGGTGGAGTCAGCCGCTGGCTTTGGGTCCTTCTGTGCTCGGTCCTGCACACCATCCGGAATGCCCCTGCCAGGGCCAGCTCCAGCTCGCCACCCCTTCCTCTCAGCCCTGGATGCCCGCACCTTAGCCAGGACCCACCGCCCATCCTGCCCCTGTCGTAAGCTCTCTCCCTGGGCTCCCCGAAGTCCCAGTGAGCTCCCTCAAAGCAGCATCGGAGGCGTTCTCAGAGAGGAGCCGCTGGAGCCGGGGCGGGGGTGCTCAGAGGAGCAGCCCGGCCTGAGGCCTCGAAGGGGAGAACCTGCTGGCACAGCTGAGGGGCACCGTGCCAGAGAAGGGAGCGCCGCGCCAGGCCTGCTGTGGATAAGGGCGGGATGGCTGTAATTCACACGCCATTCCGCCCGCTCACCGTACTGCATGCACCTATGATTTTAGCATGTTCGCAGAGCTGTGCCGGCGTCACCACCACCACCGATGTCAGAGCATATTCCTCACCCCAACGAGACGTCTCATGCTCCCTGTCCCCGACTCCCTGGCGGGACTAGTCGCCTTTCTGTCCCTCTGGATTTGCCCCGTTTGGAGATTTCGTAAAACGAAGGCCGACCACACGTGGTCCTTTTGTGACTGGCTTCTGTCACGTAGCACCATGTCCCCAACGTGTCATCCGTGGGGCACGTCTGGTGTGCACGGCGGGCCTTTTTCACGCCTCAGTAGTATCCGCCACTGAGCCACACCAGCTTACTCACCCGGCCCACAGCGGACGGGCATTCGTGTGGTGTCCACGGTCTGGCTCTCCTGAGGCAGGTTGCCATGACGATGCATGCGCCTGGTTTTGTGCGCATGTGGTGGTTTTCCTTTCCTGGGTGGACTCCCAGGAGCGGAATTGCTAGGTCTCAGGATAAATCCGTTTGCCATGGGAGGCGCTGGCAGGCTGTTTGCCACGGTGTCAGCCCCGCCTGCCAGCCCCCCTCAGAGCGTGGGCTCACGGCCACACCGATGCGTGTCGCTTCCTGCCTCTGCTGATCAAGCCCCTTGCGGGAAAGTGGCGTCGCGTCCGACGTGGCTCTGACTTGCATTTCCTCGCTGACCGTGGTGCCGAGAGGCCGGCGGTCTCCTGTGTGTCCTCTCTGGTGTAATATCTGGGCAGAACCTTTGTCCAGCCTGAAACTGTTTTTTTTTTTTTTTTTTTTTTTTTTTTTTAAAGTCTTTTAAAGAATATGTTTTTGTTGGTTTCAGAGAGGAAGGGAGAAGCGGGAGAGAGAGAGAGAAACATCCACGGTGAGAGAGAATCATGGATCAGCTGCCTCCTGCCTGCTCCACACCAGGATGGAGCCCACAACCCAGGCCTGTGCCCTGACCGGGAATCCAACCGTGACCTCCTGGTTCCCAGGTCGATGCTCAACCCCTGAGCCACGCTGGCCGGGCTGAGTTGCCTTCTTACTATTCAGTTGAAGGAGTTCTTTATCTTTTCGGGATGCAAGTCCCTGTCACCAGGACAGATCTGCAAACCTGGCATCTTTTCACTCCCCTGGGGGCTGGTGAGAGAGGGAGGGGGCGCGCGGGGGGCGGGGAGCCTGGGCCCAGACGGGAAAGGCCTTGGAGGCCGGAAGGACACAAAGGAAGCTTTCTCTTCCCCCATTTCGGAGGGCAGAGGGGCCTCTCGGACTCCCCCTCTTCGTCCTGTCCCCAGCACCATCCCGAAGCCACCCCAGAGTGGGCGCAGAGGCCTAAGCCACCCTTTGGTGCCCGTGTGGCAGCTGGAGCGGCAGGGGGGCAGCCACGTGGCTCCAGCCGGTGAGGTGAAGCCGGGAGGCGCTGCCCACGGCAGTGACCTGCGTTCCCGGCTGCTTCTGTAGATGGAGCAACCGGACGGTGAGCGTGACGCAGGAGTTCCTGGAGTACACGGCCAGCGGCACCCTGAGTGACGGCCCCGTCTCCGACAACTACATGTTTCTGCCGAAGGGGCCCGCGGGCCCGGCGTGGGAGGCGGTGAGCGTGGAGATCGCGCGCGGGCGCCTCCTGACGGAGATCCGGCAGCACTTCTACAGGTGCGGCCTCGGGGTGCCGCGCAGGAGTGCCCGTGGCCGGTGCTGCGGGCCGCCTTTGCTCAGGTCCGCGCTCCCGCGTGGCAGGGCCGCCGGGTGGAGGGCGGGTGCAGGAATGAAGGGCTGCGGGCCGCACGTTCCGGCTGCGTCTGCATGTGCTGTGCCCCCTGGGCGGTGTCTGAGCGGGGCCGGGACAGGGGCCCGCGGCGCGGTGACAGCACAGGGAGGTTCCCGTGTTTTCCCTGCCAGAAGCCATCGGGCCTGACTGGGCCTGAGCCCTCAGGGACCCGGCGCCTCCCGCCCTGTCCCTGACAAGGCACCCTGCCCACCTGCCTGCGGGAGAGAGGGGGAAAGAAGCAAGAAAGGGCAGCCCTGGCTGGTGTGGCTCAGTGGATAGTATTGGCCCGTGGACTGAAGGGTCGTGGGTTCGATTCCGGTCAAGGGCACATGCCCGGGTTGGGGGCTCGATCCCCGGGAGGGAGCATGCAGGAGGCAGCCGATCCATGATTCTCTCCCTCCCCTGATGTTTCCACCTCTCTCCCTCTCCCTTCCTCTCTGACATCAATAAAATATATTAGAAAAAAGAAAGAAAACAGAGAGAAAGAGAGGGCAGGAGAGGAGGGGGCAGGGGAAGGGGCATCCAGAAGGCCCGGAGGCTGCTGACCAGTTCGGCTCTTGTCTCCCAGGACGCCGGGCGCCAAGGAGCCCACCTACGCCATCTACTCCCGCCTGGCCCACGTGCCGCCCGCCCAGGAGCTGCTCTGCGGCCGCCTGGAGCAGGAGCTGCGTGTGGGGCCTCTGGGGGTGAACCGCGAGGCCATCCTGCGGACCAGCACCGGCCTGCAGAGCCTGCAGGTCCTGCACTCGGACAGCAACGCCTTCCAGATGCAGCGGAGGCCCTACCGGCACTACCAGGGCCACGCCATCTCCCGGGTACGCCCGCCAGCCAGGCCCTGGGTGCGGCGGCCTCTGGCGGAGCCCCGCGTGCTGCCTGTGGGGGGCGCCCCGGCGGGGCCAGCCCGGCCTCTGGCCTCTGACCTCGGGCTGCAGGGCTGAGGACAGTCCCCACGGGGCTCCGCTCCCACTTCCGTGAGCTGAGGGCGCGCTCTCAGAGGGGTGTGAGGGTGTGCGGGATGACGGGGGTTGAGGGCTGGCTGTGTGCGTGCTCTGAGCCGGAGGGGTGGCAGCAGGGCCTCAAGTCAGACATGCGGTCCAGCGCCCACGGCCTTGTGTTCCAGGCAGGGTGGCCTTGGGCAAGCGACTCAGCTTCCCCGTGCTCAGGCCCTCTCCTTGCCCCGGGCTGTGAGGGTCCCCGGGGAACCTCGTGTGCTTGAAATGTGCCTGTGTCATTTCTCCTCTCACGGCATCCCGCCCTGCCCTGCCCCGCACTGCCTGCCTTGAGTGTGTTCCCTGGCATCTCTGTCTGCTGGTCCTCACCCTCTGCAGCCTGGCCCCCACCGTCCAGCCTGTCACCCCAGAGGGGGGAGGTTCTGCCCCACGGGAGCCAGAGGCACGGCTGTGTGGCTGCAGCTCAGCTCACGGGCCCTTACGCCAGCACCCATGGGTCCAGGGACCCAGAGGGCCCGTATCCAGAGGAGGTCTTTGCACCCCATCTACAGAAGGGGAAAACTGAGGCTCGAGTGGGCTCAGGTCCCCAGCCCACAGGTCAGGGGGCAGGGGGGCCGATGTGAGTCCCTCCCCGACGGCACCTGGAGCTGCCGCTGCGCCTGAGCGGGGGCTCGGCTGGGCAGCCAGAGGGCCATCGCGGACCGGGCGGCCCGCCTTGCCCTGTGCCCGACGGCCCTCCTGGCCGTGTCTGTGTCCGCAGAATTACTACCCCATGGTGCAGTCGGCCTACATCGAGGACAGCAGGAGCAGGCTGGTGCTGCTCTCCGGGCAGGCGCACGGCGTCTCCAGCCAGGGGAACGGAGAGGTGGAGGTAGGCGGGGCCCTGCGCTGTCTCCTCCCCCCCCCCCTCGGCGCCCCCGGTGCCAGGGGCCTGCCACCAGCTCTGCCCGCAGGTGCTGCTCCACCGGCGCCTGTGGAACGAGCTGGAGTTGACCCAGTACTTCAACGTCTCCCTGAAAGAGCCCTCGGTCACCCGCCCCGTGTTCTGGCTCCTGCTGGGCCCCCCGGCCGTGACCACCCGCCTGCGCCCGAGGGCAGGGCTGGCGCTGCAGCACAGGCCCGTGGTGGTGCGGGGGAGGCTGACCGGTAAGGGGCGCCCAGGAGGAGCCCGTCGGGCCGGCGAGGACCTGGGGGCGTGGGTGCCCTCGGGGCCCGGGCTGAGGCCGCGTCCTCTCGGGAGGGGTGCCTCGTGGGATGTCCCCTGAGATTCAGGGCGGGCAGCGGGCGGGGCTGACGGGAGGGCCAGGGACCTGGGGGTTAGGTAGTGTCACCCCCAAGCCAAGATGAGCCTGTGGCCAGTCTGAGTGCCAGTCAGGGTTCTCGTGTTTGGCAGGAAAAGCGCTGACAGAGCAGCGGGGTGGGCAGAGGCTGGGCAGCTCAGGGCGGCAGGCGGAGCTGGGCAGTGGCCCGGGCAGGCGGGCAGCGCTGGGCTTCTCGGGAGCCGTCTCTCCCCGGACTGCCCGGAGCTGCTCCTGCCCCCACAAGCCCCATGCTGGCCGCCCGTGTTCTTCCTGGCGAAGACAGCCTGCCCCCCAGGGGCGCGCTGCACTCACTCCCTCCGTCTGCCCTCACTCGGTCTCTGTTGGTTGCAAATGAGAGTCATGGAGGGACAGGCAGGGTGTAACGCGGACCGAGGCTGGAACCTGCATGAGGCTGTTTCCCTCCTCCGCCATCTCCCCACAAAGGAACCCCGACCCAAAAGTCCCAGGGAAAGATTCTGATTGGCCCTGTGGGGGTCACATGACCCCAGCCTGGACCAATCACTGCGGCCTGGGGTGCAGCAGGGAGGTGGCACTCCAGCTGCAGCCCAGCGTTGAAAGGAGCAATTTCCCGGAAGGATGAGGGCCTGGGCTGGGAGCCTGGGTGGACGCTGGGCCAGCCGTGTAGGCTGCCTGTGGGGAGGCTGGGAGGTGGGCTGGGCGGGAGGGACCGGGCGTGGAGATCTCTGAAAGCAGGAGGAGGAGTGTGGTCCCAAACCCGCCCCCCTCTCGGTGTCGGTCGGCTCGGCAGAGGCTGACTCCCTGAGCGCCCGCCAGCAAGAGGCTGTGACGCTGCCCCCGAGTCTCCACCTGCAGACCCTGAGCATCCCCGGCTGGAACTACAGCTCAGACCACGCCGAGCACCTGCAGGACCTCGGGAAAGGTGGGCGGGCCTGGCCGGCCCTCCTCCCCGCCGCCCCGCCGCCCGGCCCCGCGCCCCGCCAGGCACTTCCTCAGAGGAGTCACGGCTCAGAAGGTCACCTGGTCCCTTCGCCTGGCCAGTGGGGAGACTGAGGCCCACGGAGAGGCATCGAGGGCTCAGGGGCGGGGGCCTGGACCCCAGCCCAGGACCTGCCCGAAGGATTCTTCCTGGACTCCTCTAAGCCCACCTCACCTGCACACCTTTGTCCACACCCTGCCGGACTTAGGGCTGCGCTCCTGGGCTGCGGGCACCTGACTCCGGCCACCCTGGGGGCCCTGGCAGCCGCCTGCCCGGAGCTCCCATGCATTCGTGAGGCCCAGGTCTCCGGGCCGGGCCGGGGGCCGCAGTGACCGGTGCGGCCAGGTCTCTGCCCGCTGCGCTCTCAGTCTAGAGGGGGGAGCAGTCAAGCCACCGGGCGGCGATGACGGTGACCAGACCGCAGCCCGGGGTGGGCATCAGGGAGGGCTTCTCGGAGGAGGCGAGACCTTTCGGGGGCACTGCTCCTGCTGCCGAGGCTCCAGCTGCATCTCGCTGCCCCTTGCACGTGAGCGGCTGGAAGGCAGGCTGGCTGCGCCCCAGCCACCCTGGGGTCCCCACAGTCCCACCCAGGACCTGGCCCCCCACAGAGTAAGAGCCCGTGGAAGGGGGAAGCGACAGGCCAAACAGCGTCCCTGTCCCTGAAAGAGAGCACGTGCGAGACCCTGGCTCATGCCTGCGTCCCAGAGGCTCCCTGACCCTGACCCCAGTGCCTCAGCCCATCACAGGAGACCCTGGGCGGCGGCCTCACCCCCCCCGCCCCTGCCCCCTCTCCTGGCAGTACCCCCCTCCCCCCAGCAGATTTCTTAACGTGACTCCCGTGGGCGGCTGGCTCCCAAGGAGGAGGAGGGGCTGGGCCGGCGAGCCCGCAGCCCCCGATGACAAACCCCTCCCTGGAGGGCAGGAGTCCCCCCCCCCCGACCCCTACGAAGCAGGTTGTCATCCTCACCGTCCTTGTCAACCGTCCCACCTCATGGCGGGGGCGAAGCTTGAGGCCCGTGCTGAACCACCGTGCCAGGACCTCGGAGAAGGAATTTTACAAACGTTCTGCCACTGCAACCAAGGGCCCAGCTGGCCCTGTGCCCACAGCTCGCCCCCGTCCCCAGCCCACCCCCTGCACACCCCCCCTCACCCCGATCCCCGCCCCGCCCCGCCCCCCGCCGCTGTCCCGCCGCTGTCCCGCCGCTGTCGGTCTTGGGGTCAGCAGCACACCCCGCTGGCTGTGGGGCCAGGGACCGAGATGGAGGCCACGGGGCACCAGGGGCCGCCTCAGTCCCGCTGACAGGAAACGCTCCCATCTGGAGTGACAGGTCGCTCTGCTCGCTTTGCACGGGCCTCAGGGTCCCGTGGCCACAGGCCGAGAAGGCGAGCCACACGCTGAGGACAGGGCGCCAGGCCGCAGCCACGGGGACGCAGGGCCGGGCCTCCTTCTCCTCGCTGAGCCGTGGAGGCCGTGCCGCCCCCCAGGGGAGTGAGTGTGTGAGGTCCGGGCACAGCGGGGTCCTCACGGCCGCCGCCCTCCCGCCCCCTCCCCAGGCTTCCCCAGGAAGGCCACGGCCGACCTCCGCCGTGTCCTGCTGCGGCTGCACCACCTGTACGAGACCGGGGAGGACCAGGTGCTGTCGCAGCCGGTGACCGTGGACCTGAAGGTGAGCCGTGTCCCTCCGCCAGACGCCCTGTCCGGCCTCTGGGGGCGCTGGGCCAGGGAGTCACACACCCAGGTCACACGCCCGACTCGGAAACCACGTTGGCAAGAGGCGTGTGGGTGCGCCCACCACAGACCGGACCGTGTGGGCTCTGGGGGCCTCCCCGCCCGCCCTGCCCCAGCCGGTGCCCTCCTGACCCTTCTCCCCGGAAGGTTGTTTGAGATGCCTCCCGCCTCCCTGTGCGCCTCGGGACACCCCCTTTTCCGGCCTCCTGGTCTCCTCCCTCACCCTCCCCCTCCGCGGGCCCTCGGAGGCCGGAGCAGGTCTGAGTGCGGTCAGGGCGCAGGGGAGGCCAAGGTGGCACCCGGGCGTCAGTCGCCCTGTGCTGCCCCGCCCGGGCGGCATGCCGAGCCCCTGGGGGGCAGATGGCCGGGCGGACGCCGAGTGGATGTGCTGGTCCCTGGCCCCAGCGGGTCTCACGGAGGACGGTGCGCGGCTGCAGGGCGGCTGCCAGCGAGGGTGCAGGAGCAGGCCGGGCGTTTCTCACCAGCGGACGCGGCTGGGCCGTGTGTCCTCGGTCACGCTGTCCTCCGGGCCGTCCTCCGCCCGTGGTCACAGCCGGTCAGGTCTCACCAGCAGGTGTAAAGACCCAAGCGGGTCGCAGCGCCCGGGGCCTGGTCGCCCGTGCCCGTCCCGTCCATCAGTCCGGGCAGCTGGCCCAGAGCCCTGGCCACGGCCAGCACTGTCCCTGTCTCCCACGGCCAGCACTGTCCCTGTCTCCCACGGCCAGCACTGTCCCTGTCTCCCACGGCCAGCACTGTCCCTGTCTCCCACGGCCAGCACTGTCCCTGTCTCCCACGGCCAGCACTGTCCATGTCTCCCACGGCCAGCGGGCCCTGCCTCCCTCCCTGCGGGGGCGGCTGGGTTGACTCCGTGGCAAAGTGCCTGGCAGGAGGGCTCCGTGTAGGGGGGCAGCTCTGAGCGCCGCCACCTCCCGGGCACCCCCACCCGCCGGGCAGCGGGAAGCAGTCTCCTGGCCTCAGTTTCCCCCCGGGGACGGGCTCCCGCCGGGAGCTTTGCGGTGGGAATGGAGTGAGGGGGTGCCCCCCGCCGCCCCCCTGTAGCCGTGTGTCCTGGGCTCAGCCCTGGAGCCCGGGCCTCACCCCTCGCGCTGGTCCCCGCAGTCCGTGCTGCGGGGGCTGGGCTCGCTGGTGGCCGTGGAGGAGCGCTCGCTCACGGGGACCTGGAGTGCAGACTCGCTGCAGCGCTGGAGCTGGAGGACGCGCACCCCAGGTTTGGGGGCCGGGTGGGGGCGCTGCCCGCGCGGCCCCTTCAGGCCCCTCACCTGCTCTGCTCTGCAGCCGCCCTGAGTCTGCCTGAGCCGGGAGGAGCGGCTCTGGCCAGTGCCCGCCTGCCAGGCTCCACACAGGCGTGTGCAGGTGCGAGTGCGTGTGTATGAGCGCATGTGTGAGCGCGTGTGCCAATGCATGTGCGTGTGCCTGTGTGCGAGTGTGTGCGTGTGTGCGAGTGTGTGTGCGAAGTATGTGTGCGCGAGAGTGAGTGTGTGTATGTGCGTGCGCACGCGCGCGAGCGCACGTGTGTGTGTGTGTGTGTGTGTGTGTGTGTGCGCCTGTGTGCGCGAGCACGCGTATATGTGTGTGTGTGCAAGCCACACCACTGCCCGTGCCCGTGCCCGGGTGAGACCCACGCTCACCGGCGTGCCCCAGGGTCTGAGTGTGCCAGGCTGGGCCCGCTCCGCACACACCACCGTGCCCCCCGCCAGCCACAGGCTGCTTGCTGCCGCCCAGGCTTGGCCGACACCATTGCCTCCGCCGGAGCGTGCCGGGCCTGCCTTCCGGCCTGTCCTGCGCCGGGCCAGGCAGGGGCAGACCTCTGCTCCTGTCCACTGCGCAGCACGTGGCGGGGATGGGAGGGGGCGTTCAGTCAGTGTGGGGGTGAGCGGGGGATCATGCACGGGTGGTGCAGGAAGAAGGGTGGGTGAGCGGTATGAGCCCAGACCCCAGGGCAGGACTCGGGGAGCCAGCGAACGGAAGGGCAGGGCCCCCAATGGCCCGGTGCCCGGGGAGGGCAGAGATGCGAGGCCGTGGCCGTGGGGCCCGGCAGGAGGGGCAGCCGCACTCTGTGGTGCCAGGGGTCCCGGGAATGGGGGCTCCGAGGGCGGGCGGGCGGGCGGGGCTGACCTCCTCTGCCCCTGCCAGGCGGCGCCCGGCCCAGAGCCCCGCGAGGCCCCGTCGTCACCATCGGCCCCAAGGAGATCCGGACCTTCTTCGCCCACTTCCAGCCGCACTGAGTGCTCGCCGAGGCGCAGCCAGGGCCTCCGGACCGGGAACCACAGGGCCCGACGCGCCCGGCGGCGGGGGCGGGCGGGCGGGCGGACAGCAGCCGCCTGCTCGGCCGTCGCGGGACGTGGCCAGGCCCGGTTTCTTAGTTTCTGAAATAAAAGCTGCATCACGAGGACCCGCTTCTTCTCCTCAGCCTCGGCGCCAGCCCCTCCTCTCCTGTCGCCCGGTGACACCCCCACGCCCACAGCTCCGGGTTCACCCGGTGACACCCCCACGCCCACAGCTCCGGGTTCACCCGCACAAGTCAGAGCCGGAAGCAGGGCAGGCGGAGCGCGGAGCCAGTGGCCAGTGGGTCTCACCGAGGCCGCACTGAGCCGTGGCTCTGCCGTGGGACCGGCGACGTGGGGTGGGGCTGGGACGGGGGAGCAGGAGGCCTCGGAGCCGGGGTGCACGGGGCTCGGCGTCTGGGTCCGGAGGGCCGTTGGGAAGGTCTCCCCGGGCAGGGCCGTGAGCTGCAGAGAGACGGACTCCCTGCCGACACCCGCTGCCCCGCCGCCCACGCAAGATGTGACCCTGCCCACGGCTCGCCCCCTCGCCTCTGCCAGGCTCCGGGGCCTCACCACTCCGTGTCACCCGATTGTCTGACTGTTCCCACCGCCGTGTGCCCGAGAGAAACTCCCCAGAGAGCACCACGCCCGGCGCTGTCAGTGTTTATGGGCGGGCGGGCGGGGAGACAGTCCATGGTTTTCCTTCCCGAGAAGAATGCAGACAGGAAGATGGGAGGCACCCCATCCTCTTCACGGTCTGTGTCCCTGCCCCGCCACATGTACCCACACATGCCTGCGTGTGGGCACACACACACACACACACGCTCACACACACGCTCACACACACGCTCACACACATGCTCACACACACACACACGCTCACGCACACGCTCACACACACGCTCACACACACACACACGCTCACACACACGCTCACACACATGCTTACGCACACTCACACACACGCTCACACACACGCTCACACACATGCTTACGCACACTCACACACACGCTCACACACACGCTCACACACATGCTCACACACGCTCACACATGCTCACACACATGCTCACACACGCTCACACACACACACGCTCACACACATGCTCACACACGCTCACACACATGCTCACACACATGCTCACACACGCTCTCACACGCTCACACACATGCTCACACACTCACACACTCACACACACGCTCACACACCTGCTCACACACCTGCTCACACACCTGCTCACACACATGCTCACACACATGCTCACACACGCTCTCACACGCTCACACACATGCTCACACACTCACACACTCACACACACGCTCACACACCTGCTCACACACCTGCTCACACACATGCTCACACAGCTCACACATGCTCACACACCTGCTCACACACCTGCTCACACACATGCTCACACAGCTCATACATGCTCACACACACGCTCACACACATGTGCACACACATGCGCACACACCTGCTCACACACCTGATCACACACATGCTCACACACTCACACACTCACACACATGCTCACACACGCTCACACATGCTCACACACATGCTCACACACACACTCACACACACGCTCACACTCACACACATGCTCACACACATGCTCACACATGCTCACGCACACGCTCTCACACACGCTCACACACATGCTCATACACATGCGCACACACACGCTCACACACATGCTCACATGCTCACACACACGCTCACACACATGCTCACACACTCACACACGCTCACACACATGCTCACACACATGCTCACACACTCACACACGCTCACACACATGCTCACACACATGCTCACACACATGCTCACACGCTCACACACATGCTCGCACACACACACACTCACATTCACACACATGCACTCTGGAACGTAGCCCTCCCGCCTCTGTCTTTAACATCTCTGTGCGGTGCCTGACGCTGGGAGACCCTCGGAGAAAATGCTTTTCACCCGAATGAAGGAGACCAGGCATCTGATTGGATTCCAGCGCTGACACTCGCTAGGAAGTCCCTGAATTTCCGTGCACGGGATGCCACCCAGCCAACCGAACCACACTGGCCAGGGGATGGAAGTCCCTGAATTTATTCTAATCGGCTTTCTCACCGTAAAAATGGGGCTAATGCCCCTCGTGCCTGGCTTATGTGCATGTGTGCGTGTGAGGGTTCCCTGAGGAAAACACGGTCATCGCTTAGACCAGCGCCCGGCATGGGGTTCGTGCCCCAACAGCTGGTTGTCCTGGTGGTGACAGCGATGGTGGTGGTGGTCATGGTGCTGTGATGGTCATAGTAATGGTGTTGACAGTAGTGTTGACAGACGGTGAGATGGTGAAGTGATGGTGACAGTAAAGGTGATGATTGTGGTGTGATAGTGGTGATGGTGTTGCTGTCGGTGATGGTGTTTCTGTAGTTGGTGGTATGATGGTGATGGTGTTGTTAGCGATGATGATGTGGTGTTGTTATTGGTGGTAATGTTGCTGTTGCTGTTGTTGGTATAATGGTGATAATGTTGGTGATGATGGTATGGTGTTATGGCAGTAATGGTGATGGTGTTGCTGTTGGTGGTGATTGTGTAGTGGTGATGAAGTTATTGGTGGTGATGGTGTTGCTGTTGGTGGTGTTTCTGTAGTTAGTGGTGATGGTATGATGGTGATGGTTATGATTGCATGATGTTGTTATTGGTGGTAATGGTCATGGTGTTGCTATTGGTGGTGATGATGTGGTGTTGTGATGGTGTTGTTGGTATTGTTGGTGATGGTGTGGTAATGGTGTTGGTGATGATGGTGTTGTTGGTGGTGATGGTGGTAATGGTGTTGGTGGTGATGTGTTGTTGTTGGTGATGGTGTGGTAATGGTGTTGTTTGTGGTGATGGTGTTGATGCTGGTGATGCTGTGGAAATGGTGTTGTTGGTGATGGTGTGGTAATGGTGTTGGTGGTGATGGTGTTGGTGGTGATGGTGTGGTAATGGTGTTGGTGGTGATGGTGTTGTTGGTGGTGATGGTGTGGTAATGGTGTTGGTGGTGATGGTGTTGGTGGTGATGGTGTGGTAATGGTGTTGGTGGTGATGGTGTTGTTGGTGGTGATGGTGTGGTAATGGTGTTGGTGGTGATGGTGTTGTTGGTGGTGATGGTGTTGTTGGTGGTGATGGTGTTGATGCTGGTGATGTTGTGGAAATGGTGTTGTTGGTGGTGATGGTGTGGTAATGGTGTTGGTGGTGATGGTGTTGGTGGTGATGGTGTGGTAATGGTGTTGGTGGTGATGGTGTGGTAATGGTGTTGGTGGTGATGGTGTTGTTGGTGGTGATGGTGTGGTAATGGTGTTGGTGGTGATGGTGGTGGTGGTGATGGTGTTAATGGTGTTTGTGTTGATGGTGTTGTTGGTGGTGATGGTGTGGTTGTGGACACTGACACACCAGTGAAGGGGAGAGTGAGCCTGGTTACTGCTCTCCCTCCAGGGAAGCTGCCAGGTCACAGCCTTGGGCACCAAGGTGAGTCCCCGGGGAAAGGACTTCCCACCTGCACTGACCGCCTGTGTCGAGGGGCTATTTGCCAGGCCCCCACGCTGCAGGGCCTCGGGCCGGTCCCTGGGTGCTGGCCGGCGTGTTGGGAAGGCACAGGCTCATGTGAAAAGTCTGACAGTCGCCAGCAGCTTCAGTGTGCTTGCGTCCGGGTGCCCCGTGGAGCTGGCGGCCGAGGGGGCTGCACACGGTGTGAGGGGGCGGGTGAGCACGTTTGGATTAGAAAAGGCCAAAGTGGCTAACAGCCGGGGAGCTGGGCTGTAACATTCCAGCATGTTCTGTTGATTTATGGCTGTTGCTAGGTAACCAGTACACTGAGGCGGTGTGACTGGAAAGCTGCAGCAGCTCTCCATCAGAGACACAGACAGAGAACCATTAAGCTGGGGGCTGGGGGCTGGGGGGCTGGGGGCTGGGGGACTGGGGGCTGGGGGATAGAGGGATGGGGCTTGGGGGCTGGGGGCTGGGGGGCTGGAGGGCTAGGGGCTGGGGGGCTGGGGGGGCTGGGGGCTGGGGGACTGGGGGGCTGCAGGCTGGGGGGCTGCAGGCTGGGGGGCTGGGGGGCTGGGGGCTGGGGGGCTGGAGGGCTAGGGGGTTGGGAGGTTGGGGGACTGGAGGTCTAGGGGCTGGGGAGCTGGGGGGGCTGGAGGCTGGGAGGCTGGGGGGCTGGGGGCTGGGGGATAGAGGGATGGGGCTGGGGGGCTGGGGGGCTTGGGGGCTGGGGGACTGGGGGCTAGGGGGTTGGGAGACTGTTTGGCTGGAGGGCTGGGGGCCGGGGGGCTGGGGGGCTGGGGGGCTGGGGGCTGGAGGGCTAGGGGCTGGGGGGCTGGGGGGCTGGGGGCTGGAGGGCTAGGGGGTTGGGAGGTTGGGGGGCTGGAGGGCTGGGGGGGCTGGAGGCTGGGGGGCTGGGGGCTGGAGGGCTGGGGGCTGGGGGCTGGGGAGGGTGGCGTGTGGCCCAGAGGAGAGGCGCTGTTAGAGGAAGCGGAGGTCCCCCCCCCCCCCCCCCCCGTTTGCTGTCCTCACAGTGCAGCCCCGAGAGCTGCCGGTGCGCCCCCCTCTGAAGGACACGGGTGACCCGGCCTTTTCTTCTGAGTAAATCGATTGGCAGCACGTGCGGGGCCCTCACACGGCGCCGCTGCGGGCGTGCCGAGGGCGTGTGCGAGCCTGGCGGGCGGCTCATTGTCTTCACGCCGCCACCAGCACCGTCCGCTGCGAGCACACATGGACCCACTGCGTGCCCCCGGGCTCACGTGTGAACAAGACCGACGTCCCTGCCCGCGGAGCGGCATTCAGACGGGGGACAGACACTCCCCACAGCCGCAGTGTGAAACAGCCGCAGGGGAAAGCAGAGCCGCGGTGAGGGATGGGGGGGGGGGTGCTGCCAGTGTAAGTAGAGGATCCCATTAGCCCCCCGAGAAGCTGACATTCGAGC